AAAAACCAGTATTTATTTTAATCGTACCTACGTGTTTTATTTTTAAAAATATGTTTTTTTGTTCTATACCGGGTGTTCAAATTAAAGTGTTACAGTGTTACAGCTAAATACCGCATTTTATAAAAAAAAAACGTTTTAGACGAAAGTTTTATAGTTTTGTGGGGAAAATTTTTTGACTAAAATCGTTTTTTATAGCTAACCATAATATGGCCAACTTTTTTTTCACCCAGCAAAGTTTTCAAGTAGCTGTAACTCAAAAAATAAAAGTCCAATAAAAAAAATATTTCCCTCTAAAGTTTCTTATTTTTTTATGTACTTTAAGAATATGTATAAAAACATGGGGTTCCAATTTAAAAAAACAAAGTCCACTTCGATATGGCCATATTATGTCAGCTATAAAAAAATGAATTTTGCCAAAATGTTTCCCCCAAAAAACTATAAAAATTCTGTCTAAAACTTTTTTTCCTAAAATGCATATTTTCGGCAGTATTCAACTGTAACATTTTAATTTGAACACCCGGTATAAATTAAACCAGCTGGAATTGCTCGAATTTTTTGAATTTTTGGGAATTTCTGGAATTGTTGGAATTACTATAATTTCTGGAATTGCTGGATACATTAATTTCATGTTTCTAAAACACGAATTTAATTATGCTTGACGAACATTTATTTACGATTTTTATCATTTTAGAGAATACAAACAATATTAATTTAAATTTGGCAGTCTGCCCAAATGAATTTAAAAATTAAGAAAACTTTATGTATATAGAATTCTATACTCAATAATCGAGGCAGCGCTTAGCACACGAGCCATTTTGTTGAAGTTCTGTACAGTTCTAACAGATGTCGCAACAGAATTGCCTCCAATGAAACGTTCATAAGGTTGTTTTACTATCTTATCTAAATACAATGCTAAAACTAAACTAGTGGCGCTCTCTATCAGTTGAGTTACAAACGAACAGAGTTAGATTACTATGTTAGGCAAGTTAGGACTCCACATTAGATACGTTATTAATGGTAGAGACGACTGCACAAGTTTTAAGATTGCTTGCATATCCTGCGCAGAGATGGCGCAACTGGTAATAAAAATTTGGCAGTGGCTCCATGTCCGATATCGGATACGCAGCTACGCGCTCTCCGCGTCCGACCTCGTACATAGAGCATCAAATTCTGCATGTCCTTCAGCGTCGATGTGCTGCCGCATTTTTTAAATTGCTTAATAAGTTATTATTCATCATGGGTCGTATTTTTAAAAGCGAAGAAGAGGGTGTTCCTTAAATTACTAGTGTTACTACTCATCTAAGAATTAACTTTTTATTGTTGCATTTTATATTTTAATATTTCATAATAAACAAGGTTTAATTAGTCAATTTTTTCTTCAAACTTTAAATTTCCATTTTCTCAAATTGACTGATCATTCTCCCCGCGACTTTTTTTTCTCGTAAATTAGTCTTTTTAGGGACATATAAGGGACAGGTACCTGACCTCTAATATACAATATGCCTGTATACCATATAATTTAGGATCAGTTTGAATTGTTATTTAAGGAATAAGTTTAAAAAATATTGTTTTGTAAAAATTACGATTTAATAATTTATAATTATAAACATTTAACATTTTTTATAATAATAATAAGATGGGTACCTACCTAAGTGAAATCTGCCTGACTCAATAGAGGTTAAAAATTAAATTTACTTAAAAGGTATAAAGTAGGTACTTAATCACATTCATATGTAACAAAAATTATATAAAAAAAAAACATGTAAGAGAAAATCAAAGATTTCTTTTAAAGGAGTAATACAGAGTGTTTCTAAATTCATGCGACAAAATTCAGGAGGTGATTGCTCGTATGAAATTAAGATGGGTTTTTCCTATAACAAAATTTCCTCAGCCCATCCCTTTCTAAAATTTCAGTACAGCTAGAAACTTGAAATTCTGTAATGTATTTTGGCTAGAGGTGGTCATTTCCACCATTTATTATGAATCGTATTACATTTTACATCTTTACTGTTTTCCACTCAATTTATTAAAAAAATTATAAACTATGGTGTTTATTTTTGGGGTTGCTAATTTCACTCCCCTATAATGTAACAGGAATATTGAAAAAATACCCGTGGTTAGTCCTTTGCGAATGCACGAAAATTACAAAATTTCAAGTTTCTAGCTTTACTGAAATTTTGGACAAAAAAATAAAAACTCAATTTTAGTCACCACCTTTTTAAGGGCGATATATCGGAAAGGGGTGGGCTGAGGAAATTTGGTTATAGGAAAGACCCATCTTAATTTCATACGAGCAATCATCTCCTGAATTTTGTCGCATGTTGCACATCAAACAGTATTAAACAACACTCAATTTCTAACGATGCATTTTTAGAGTGGACTGTTGTCTACCAAACTGCTCCTAGATTTTATGTTTTACAAACGTATCGTAATAATTATTATGTATTGTACAACCACTACAGCAAACGTACAGTAACGCCATATTTGTCCAACAAATCGCCGTATTTGTCTAACAAAACGTAGTTATTGTCCAGCAAATGTAATATGTGATACATAATTTACTGAAACGTAAAACTGCATTATTCTGTTTTTTATCTTTGGATTGAAGAGCTAACAAAAAGGTCCTCGCACCTCTCGCGTCTAGCATTGGGTCAAAAAAAATATGGTCACCCTACCTTGTGTCCAGAAAAAAACTATTTTTTTACGAGGAAAAAAAGTAGTTGATGAGCGTCGTGGAAGAATGATCAGTCGATTTGAGAATATGCAAATTTAAAGTTCCAAGAAAAAACTTGGTTAATTAAACCTTGTGGAACCCCCTTTAGATATTCGCCTTAACAAATACGAGCCATGAATAATTACTCAAACTACAAGGAAGACGCCAGCACGTCGACGCCGAAGGACATACAGAATTTGAAGCTGTATATGCGAGGTCGGACGTCGAGAACGCACAGCTGCGAATCCGACATCGGACAGGGAGCCACTGCCTAAAAATTTATAAAGCAGATTATTTTATTATTCAAATTATATTTTCATGTCAAGTATCAGATAATCCTGTGTTACCGTTTGGGTGGAAATTTAGATTCTGGTGGAAATTTTGGATAGATACAATATTTTAGGGAATTTTTGGGAAATTTGCTCCCATCGAGGTTCCCGTAATCCTTTAAAGCGAATCTTGGATTTCCTCTTTTTAATAAATAGATAATATTTATTTTTTACATTAGGTTATTGATATGTTAATGAAGACCTGACACATGAAATTATGTCATGTTTTATGTTTTGAAATATGACATGTTTTTGTGGTGTTGTTATTTAACAGTACCTAATTGATGATTAGAGTCGTTTTATTTAGTAATTTTTAATAATGTATAAGTAAGTGGCTTATACCCAGACAACACACCAAATTCCAGAGATATCCACAGAATATCTTTTGTGGATATCCAATATATCCACAGGATATCAGAAATATTCCGTCGATTTAATATGGATATCCAAATGTCCGTCTATATCTAGGATATAGAAAATATCATATGGATATCCAGCAAAATATCTAATGAGTATCTTCCAGACAATACAAGAAATCCCAGAGATATCCACAGAATATATTCTGTGGATATCCAATATGGATATCCAACCAAATGTCCGTCTATATCACAGGACATAGAAGAATTCGGATATTCAGCAAAATATTTTATAGGTATCTTTAGGTTCATAAGTAACCAATGATTATTGAATAAAGTCGAAAGAAAATAGCAGAGATAAAAAATATTTTCAACACTCAAAATATTTTCAATACTCTGCCTTTGATTTTGCCCAATAAGGAGAAAGTTATCCTTATTAGGACTCTTCAGAAATAAATGGAAATTCTCGACTCCAGTCTCTAATGGAGTCTGATTGAGAAACAAATTTCGATCGAACTCAATTACGGCGGGTTGAGCATGAGTAGATGCAAAAATAGTATCGCCATCTGGTTTGCGTTCGCGCCTAGACTTTGATATATTTAGTGGATGTCCATGGGATATTGAATACATCTTAAAAAAATTAATTTTAAATATCTGAACGGTACTATTAGCCACAATGGCGAGCACAATGGCGTAATTTTTTAATAATTTGCTATATAATTACTATTATTTATGGACATTTGCATGTCTATAAATTACAGCTCATGGATATAAAATAGATATCCACCATGGACTGGACATTCAGTGGATTTTGGGATGTTCAGTAGATATCCAAAGGATTTGGTGTGCTGTCTGGGTGAAGGTAATAAAAAAATCTCAAAGTTCGTGTCAAAGTAAAGTTAAGCGACCGTTTTCCCTCTGAAAACAACAACGATATATTTATGCTTATCGGCTTTTATCTTTATTCAATTTATAATTTTCTAGTTATGATTGTATACATTCACTATGATTTGAATAAAGCTTATTTATTTATTTATTATCTGTCAAAGTAAATGAGATATGAGACGAGACGAAGGAGGCGACGTTGCCAGCTCATTGCGCCGTTATTTATTAAAAGCATAACATAACTCGTACTACATCTTTAATGAGAGATTAGGGTTTAACGAGTCATTAAATATTTAACGATCGTTCTTGCAATTTGCAGAATGTGTAGGAAACATGAATAACTTAAAAGAATTAAAAGTCTTGTTTGTTGTGGTATTTTTATTAATAATAATTTACATTAAATAAGTTAACCTCAGTTACATCTTAGTACCGTGGTTGATAAAATTGAAAATTGTAATAATTCTTAAAAACAAATGTTAAAAAAATCACATTATTTTGTAATACACATTATAAAATATATTTTTAATATAAATCCGTACAATTAATACCAAAAATTGTCCCTCTATATATGTGTTACTTATTAAAGAGAAAAAATTACGGTTGTATATTTTTATTTATTACAATTCAATATTTTTATTTCGAGCAAATATCTAACTTATATTTTATTTGTATTCGGCAATAAAATGCTCTGTTTCAAATAAATTGAAATAACTTTACTTATTTCTGATTAAGCCAGTTTTTTATAGTTGATACATAAAAGTTTCTTGCCTTTATAATATAACTATTATCAGTACGATCAGAAGTTCTAAACTCCATGAGATGTGGAGCCTCTTCAATTCGATAACTTATCCACGGTTGTTTTGATTTGTCGTCTGATTTATTTAGATAAACAGCATTATATGAAGCCGGGTCTAACATGCTACTACTGAAGACTACATTTGAATAGTAATGCAAATTTTGGCCTCCATATGTTGAAAAGGCCCAATTGGGTCTTGGTTTAATATTATATTTTCTGTAACAATCAAGTGACATATCTTCATAATTCCAGTTCTTCGTGATAAACATATCATAGTCCGTTGAGCATTTTGGCATTATAAGCTCTGTACAAGTTTGATATTGCCAGGCAAGTTCATTTGCATTATGTTGTTTGTAAAAAATATCTGTGCAAATTGCTTTGCCAGTATAATTGGTATAAATTTTTAAAGCGGCTGCAAACATTTCAATAAATTGTCTTGTATCATTGAAATGAGCAGTATTGAGTTTGTTGCAAAATACCAAGACCGGATTGGCTGGAACTGGATTATAGTAATCAGAAGAATATGGATAATTTACCATGGATAATTTGACATATGTTTCAGCTAACCAATCTAACAATACCTCTACATCTTCTGGTGTTTCAAGATCTTTACAAAGCTTCAATGATGACGAGATAAAATCCATACCTGAAACAAATTTATATCTAATTTTATTTTAATTTAAACTAAATTCCAGATTGAGAAGTCAGTGTTGTATTTGAGATGTGAATCTTTGATTACCTGATTCAAGATACGTAAATGTAGTTAGAGCAGATTCGTCCGATTTGGATAAACCAACGGTCGAGAGGTAAAACATGCAACTACAGGGTAATATACTTAAATAGCAGATGGATGCATCGAGACAATTCTAAATAACCCATGTTTAAAGGATATTTTGTCGTTTTTACTTTCTTCTAGGAATCATTATTTTTTCAACATCGAGTGTTTGACGGTTTTTTACGTTTTGGGGTCCCCTGAATCCGTTTTGACTTTTTTCGCGATGATGTCTGTCTGTGTGTGTGTGTGTGTGTGTGTGTGTGTGTGTGTGTGTGTGTGTGTGTGTGTCTGTGTGTCTGTGTGTGTGTGTGTGTGTTTGTGTGTGTGTGTGTGTGTGTGTGTATGTGTGTGTGTGTGTGTGTACGTGCGTGTGTATGTTCCACTATACTTATGGCAACTGGTGTGTGCATTAATCTCTGGTTGTGGCACCTGCCAGAATTATGGCAACTTACAGAAGTTGCCACAATTTTAAACTTTCATAATTCCTTAAATTGTAGCTTTAGACCTTAGTTTATTTATTTTCATCCTTAATATTTCATTTTATTTTCTAGTGATTAATATAATTGTGAAATTTTTTCTATAATTTTGTTTATAATTGACATTTTGTAAAAATATGTGTTAGTTGCCACAACAGTGGATATATTATGTTTGTTACACTCACCCATTTATGGCAACATGGGCGTTGTCGGACCGTGGCACCCTCATTAAAGAATTTACAGCGTTGCAGTTGTGAACGAATAAATTTCGTTTCTTTGGTATATTGCAATATCTCATTGAACTTGAAGTTGCCACTATCAGGGTATGCGCACTTGGATATACACATTCCATTCACATTCCACTGTTAGTACTATGCACCAATCTCACAGAGGGCGTTACTATAATTCTTCGTTTTTCCTGTAACGTCAGTTGTTTTTGACATCCAAAATTTGTTATTTATCGTTTGTCCTTTGTGGGTGACTGGATTTTATTTTTTGCGAATTATATTATTGGAAAATTGAAAAGTACATTTATTTTATTAGTTTTTAATCTGTTTTTCGTGTGCTTCTTGGTTTTTTATGTGCGTTTTTTTGGTTTTTTGCTAGTGTTAGAACTTGTATTCGTGCTTTGTTAATATTTAAGACATTTATTATTTGTTTTTAAATCTGCCTTAACTTTTCAAGTAGATATGTAACTAAAATTCCACATTTAGCATTCATTATAATTGTAACTTTGAATTACAAATACTATTAAAATAAACAAGACAACACAAAAATAGTATTATAATTTAATTAAATAAATTAGAAAATTTGGCTTTAATTATTTAGGGCCGATTCCACCGTTGTGTTAACGAAGTTTAAATTACAAACGAGGATTAAAATTACATTTTTACATTACTATGTCATTTTAATCTTCGTTTAGTAATTTAAGCTTACTTTAACACAACGGTGGAATCGGCCCTTTAGTAAACAAATGAAAATGACGTAACCTCAATGTTTGTTTTCTTGACTGAGGACTTTGGTTAATTCTGCTTCTACTCGAAACGTGCGTATTTAAATAAGGCTTGCAGCCAATGATCGTTTTCTAATATTTATGGTCTTTTACAATGTAAGACGTCTAGCTACATTATGCGTCCCCAAACCATCAGATGGCGCTCAATTCATAGTTTGATCGTTGTATGAAGATTATATACTGGGTCTTCAACAATACCGAAAACCCACGTGACCAAATCGTCATGACAGCGATTGGTGAAAATAAAAGTAAAAATCCCTAGATGTGAGCCAGTGCCGTAGGTATTTTATTACAAAATAGATCTTCTTCTTTTTTTTATGGTCTGTAACTGCGAGAACAAAATTCAGTTAGGTAACTGTTAGAATTACAACACAAAATCATAATATTAATTATTATTGTATTTTAATGTTAGAATTCGATATTTTAATTAGATTTAGTCAAATGCAATAATTTAATTTTTAAAATTGAAATAATATAACCTTAAAAACAGCTATTTTTTTTGTCATCGGCATCAACTGCTACGGTTATTAACCTCGTGTTCTGTGTAGGCTTTGTTACTGTTTCCCAGCGCCACTTTAGGAAAAGCACTGTTAATTAGTACCCAACAGTGAATGGTCGAGTGAACTGAGCTATTATATCTAGTTTGTATTTAACGAAAAGAATAATAAACTGAAATATGCCTACTAGTTATTGCCACTATTACACTATTACCAGAAAGTTATGTACAAAAAAAAGTTATGCATTAAAATATGAATAAAATTAAAAATTATTTACTTTAGACTGAGTCTAAGATATTTAGTTACAGCTGAAACTTTAAATACGATAAACAGAAGACAATGACAGTACTTGGCAATTATTGCAGTTTAACTAAACACATTTAAAACTTACTGGAATTGTACATGGGCAATGGGAAGTGATAAACAAATAATTTAAGTTTGTTCTATTATTTATTTTTTGCAGGGTTTAAACCATTTACAAAATACATTATGTTACTTATATGTATACAAAAAAATATTAATATTATTAATGTAACAAGCACACATTTGTTTTACCTTACAGCTTTCACTTTAAATTATAAAGGCATACCTATTAACAACTACTTTATTTAAAAGGATATTGAGTATTAATCGGTGTGGTGCACAAATCTTTACCACTAGCTTTAATGCAAGCACCAATCGTTCTTTTTTGAACACATTATGCAGTTTCTTATCAGTTATATTTTGTATTTTATTTAATATAGGTGCCCCAGTTCATAAACGTCACACAAACGATTTTGAATTGAGCGATTTGTAATATTCAATAGGTAGGTTTAGCAAAATTAAGCTAAAATGATTGTTGCAGTACCGAAACTTTATAGGTGATGCATTATCAGAAATGTTTTCAATACTTTATGGCTAGTTCATAGCGTCAAACCTAAAAAAAAATATAATTTGAATTTCACTTGTCAGAGTCAGTCTATAAAACACCGTTCATACCTGTTTGAAGTGCGGTTTTTTTTTACTAATTTATTGAGAATTTGCAACATGTTAATTTGCACATCTTCAACAGCTTTTGTTATTACTTTGGGACTTTTAGAGCTTTTTCCTTTTTTATAATTTTGAACAAATATTTGTTTGTGACGACAAAAAAGAATCACATTCCATTTATTCACCTGGAAAACGTTCCTCAAATTTTGAAATACAATTACGAATATAAAATAATTTTGTTCCAGTGTAACATAACCTGAAATAAATGATATACAGTCATTAACTTTTACGACTTATAGTAAATACATTTGTACTTACCAACAAAAAAGAATTAAACCGCCAATAATCTCTAAAAATAACTAATTGCTCTATTAATATTAAATGAAAAATGGAATAAAGGTGTTTATAAAATGTAAACAAATATAATATAAATATTCTCAGTCCCCAAATGAACGCCAGTGACATTTCTGACAGGACTGACAGTTTAGTTTAGTTCCTTCTACGTCAAATCAGGCCCTTTCGATGGGTTTTTGATGGTTATCAGATCACGTGGGTTTCGGGTATTGTTGAAGACCTGGTAGTAGGATAATGCAACAGTAAAAAGTGTTGGATGCAATCTCGAGCGGCATCTAGTGACGATTTAATGAAGTAGTCAATTTTTAATGCTATGCAGATACGCCATCTATGTCTTCTTTTCGTTCAGGCACATGGCCTCTATCACCTACCTATTATAGTTAAAAACCTCTTTATTTATTTAAAAATAACAATTTATGATAAAAGACATGAAAAATTAAACATAATAATGAAAATTTATTCCAGTTGACAAAACCGTACGAATAAAATTTTTGGATTAAGGTGATAAAAAGTGGTTAAGGACTTTGGTCAATATTTTGGTTATGTGCGGTTATGTCAAAATATATAAACAATAACAAAGAATACCTAATAACTTATAACAATGTCCAATGTTTTAAATAAATTGAAAAGTTCCAAGTAGAAAACAAAAAAGGAATAAGCTTCTGAAAATGTTGCATGTAATCTAAGTACTTCTAATTGGACTAAGTGTTGGAAAAGTTTATAACCATAAAAATAGCTGAATATTTTTATAGTTTTCAAAATTTGAACAAGCTTTGCTACAAAATTTCATCAAAGCTATCAACAGTTTGCAAGATATTGTGTTGAAAGTGTTGAAATAAATCACCTTGAAAGGAAGTTTTCAATAGCTCCACTCTTTAGGAATAGCTCAAGACGAAATCAATAGACCTACAAGTGGTCTATCTGTGGCAGACATATTCAGTTAGTCTTTATATTTCATTATGCAATGTTACAAGGTTCAGCAACTTGCCAAAATGGTTAAAATTTATTTCCAAAATCAGTGCTCTTATTTAGTACAGAATTCTATGAATGACACAATAATTATAAAGTCCTAACTTTGAACATAGAAGAAAATCTTATAAAAAAACATTTTTTTTTATATAATTTATCACTGTTTGGAAAAGTATATTTGTTTGTAAAATATTTGTGTTTACAGTTATATTTAATCCAGGTTAAGTGTCAGTTCACGAGTATAATGTTAAGTATGAACAAAATCCGCCCATTCTGTTTATATGTTTGGTTACCGACCCTAGTAGATAGGCTATTTGTTATTACTTTTAATTTAGATTTTGGATTAACGTTTTTGTATATGACATGGCTGTTTAGTAATAAATGAAGTCAAAACTGTAACACATGGTTTTATTCTGGAAAGTATTTTTAAATTAAATCACACACGCCGTTCAAGTGAAAATGTTTTAAGTAGTTCAAAACAACAATCACTCTTTTTCATTGTTTATAGAATACAGCCTTTCAGTTAGCTCAGACAAAACTGATTAAATAAATAAATTAATGTCTTATTATTTTTTGAATTTTTTTTTATTTTGA